TGATGAATATAGCGGAGACTATATAATTCTTAGATAAAAGATAAATGAATTGTGATAGTCTTTTCATCTGATCAATATAGATAGATAAGTTACAGAGTCAAGTGTTCACTGTTACACTATTGGATAAGTTTGTTATAATCCTTAAATAGTAACAGTTAGGAAGTATTGAAAAACTGTCAAACTGTCATCATCAAGTATTATAAATTCCTGTTTATGTATATATCTAAGAAAAGAGGAAAATCAACCTAATAATGGATGGTGGCTAGGATTAGAATCTGTGATGTGTTCTTCATCCTATCTGAGACTCTTCAGTTGGACGTACTTGTCTCTCAACGAATGATTTTATTCACACCAGTACCCATTACATTAAAAGTAAGACCGTGGTTCACTAACGTATCTTGACATGATAGCCATATCTTACAAGCTATAACATTAAAATACAATTTTTCATTGAGTTTGTCATGGTTTTATACTGAGTGATGGTTGTTGATGAAATGAAAATCTGAACTGCAGCGGGATTCAAACCAGTGACCATTGGGTTTCTGATTCAGTGGTTTACCAAATGAGCTATGAGGTACGACAGCTAACCAGATTTGATTTCACTTCAATCTTCAAAGGTTTTACCCGACTACCATGTGAATTCGTGACGCATTACTACTGGTTGATCGTATTCATACTATCTGCCTAGTCAGAACTTCTCATCCCAATCCAAATGTAAGTGGATCAGAGAGGGAAAATCATCATATCGATTATCATTTGACTATCTGAATCTGAGATAGGCACACTTGGCAGACTAGTGTTTATACTGGGTAATGATTGAAGGTGAGATGAAAATGTGGACCGCGGCCAGGTTCGAACCAACCAACTGAGATACGAGATCCGACTACTGAACACAATTTTATTTCACTTCAGTTACAAGGCAGGGTTTTGCCTGACAACTACCATATGAATTCGTGACGCGTTACTACCACTTGGTCGTATTCATGCTGCCTTCTCAGTCGAAACTTCTTACACAAATCCAAATCTAACTGAATTAGAATGAGAGAGGGAGCATTATACTGACTATCTGAAATAGCCTCCATGGTTTGCCAGACTTGAATTGATACTGGGGTGATGATTGAAGGCGAAATGAAAACGTTGACCGCTCCCGGATTTGACTGAAGTAATTGATGAAGTGAAATAAAAATGTGGCCAGCAGTCGGACCTCGTAACTCAGTTGTTAGAGAAGTGGGACGTAAATCCGGTGGTCGTCAATTTGAAGTCTGCCGCCGTAGAAATTTTTACTTCACCTTCAGTCATCATCACCGAGTATAGATTGATTTTATGTTATGTCTTCAAAGTCATTAGTAAAATGTGGTTAGGGCTGATGGAATTGTCTACACTACTGAATGGAAATACTTCACTGTCAGACATTCTTATAACTTAATATACTTTCTAGGTTGGAATTCATCATGGATTCACATCAGTTGGAGGAACATTGGAAACCTTGGAGAAATGGACGAGTGTTTCGTCCTAGTATGGGACTCCTCAGCAGTGGGCACATATGACCCCAACCAACGGTAGATCGAGCCCAGAACCTCCAAGATCGATGGCCAGTACATTAACATTAAGTTACTAAATCAGAATTCAATGGTTTATATTTCCTACTTCTGTCAGTTTACAATTTAGTATGATTGTCATGAAATGTCGTCGTTGTTTACCTGTTCTCATATTCGAGTTGATTGGCTTCACTGATATAGTGTTACAAAGTTTCCAAGATTCCTTCAAAGATGTTAATCCATGATGAATTATGACCTAAAATCAATTAGTGAATCTCCACAAAGCTCATTAATACTAAATTTCTGTTACATGAAAGTATACTCTCTTCTCTTATCCAACAAATGAATAAAAATTGTCTAGTTTGAAAAAGTTATCGCTGGAACATGGTATGCATATTTTGTGGAATTAGTTTGCGTAGAAAAAAAACATTTTTTGTCGAAATAAAACTTTGTCAATGTTATACTTTTGTATATATAGTCCAGTTACAGCTGTTTTCTAGTATTATATTTAGGAAATGTGTAGATATTTTATGTTATTCCCTTACAAATAACTTCAATGTATCATTTTCTAAAAACATAATATTCGCTGCTTGGAAGGAGATTACAATTGTACTTTTGCCTAAGTTATCTTCGTGATCCAATGTTACATTTTAACCCATAGCTATAACTTCCGCTTTTTTTTGAAGATAATGGAGAATTTTCTTCTCCTTCTGATGGTTTTCAGAGATACAAAACAGTTTGCTTATAAACACTGGAGGAGTACTTTAGATGCAGTGACTGTCTTGCATCATAATATTGTTTCTAGCCTAGACAAATGTGTTAAGTGTGTTCGTGGTGTCTTTTCGGATTACTCATCAACCTTTTACTCTGTACCTAAACTACTCTTGTTAAGTAAGCTTGGTATAGTTCATAATGAGCTATGTGGTTACAAAGTGGCTGTATTCTTATTCTTCTGAAGAAAAACAGTATACTGTTAAGTAAGGAAAGAGCTCGACTTGATTGCTTACTGAAGCTGGTGTGCCTCAGGGTGCTGTACTTTCTCCTTTTCTGTTTTTTTTTTGTTATTAAGTATGTTGACGACCTGACGGCGTCTATTCCAGTTAACTCTCACTTAGGTTACTCTGAATTAAATGGATTCTTGTCTCTTATATATCGGTAGTCTCTCTCAGACGGTCTCAAGTTGAACTATTCTAAATGTCAGACTGTTAATTTTAGCCTCAGGCGTAAACAAGACTTGTATGAACTGCTTAAGTCTCATGACGTCTGTTGGATTGGTGGTATTTCTGAAGAAAGTAAATCGAGTGTGAACTATCATGGGTTACCTTTTACTTCTGACCTTTGTTAGTCGTCCCATATTTTGTTGACTTGTAAAAAAATCTTTCGTTTAACTTATTACTTGAAGAGATTGAGGCTTTCTGGTATAACTCAACTGCTTCTTTTATAATTTATTAATTCCTGCATTTTATATATTCTTCTATATTGTTCTCCGTTGATCTTTCCTGGTCTTCTTAAAAAAGGACTATGTTATATTGCGTAGGGCTTCGAAAGCCGTCAGCAGGGTGAATGGTGTGCCTCTGGTCCAACTGATTAACACTGTAGTTGACTGACATATAAATTCCTGCAAGCTACTAGGTACAAAAATTTTAACTGACAGTGAGCACCCACTTCATCCACAACTGTCTCTCTTCTTGTATCTCCTCAAGGAGGACAAGAAGAAACTATATAAGACTGAACGCTTGTACAACCGCCAAGTACAAGAATTCGACTGTATCTCACCGAACAGGCATATTATGTGAAGAAAAGTGTGTTAGAACAGAACTCACATATCAATTTTGTAACAGTTAACAATCTCATTTCAATAATTTTAATTAACACTGGAAAATGTTCTGGTTTTCGATATTCCTTACATTATTTATAATAACAGAATTCGAAATGTTGTAAAGGAGTATGTATATACATATATTTTGTTGTTATTGCAATATATCATGCTGGGAATTCCAAATTGTACCAAACAATGTTTGGAACAAAGTGAACATTATCAGTAATCTACATAATCGATGCTATCAAGAAGGGTCTTTTGACTCAACTAAGCCGATAACCCTAAGCATATCGGTTAACATTCACTCATTACTTTACTAAATAATACAGAAAGTCAAGCAACAAACCGTCTAGTAAGGTGCTAAAACATCAGAATTGTTTGATGTCAAAATGGTCGTTTTTCTTGCAACTACCTTCGATTAATTTGACCACCAAATCTAGAGGTATCTCTTAGTATACGGGATTAATGACTGTAAACCATAGGCGAAAGCCAATGGGCGTATCCAATGATTTTTAAGTATACAGTGGAGATACAGTTGACTGGTCTTTGCACTCGACTTTCCATCAATGAGTTGCAGATTTCAGCATTGCTCCAGCTACCGTGGTTTGTGCAGAGGAACCTGAAACGATTCTATGCGTGTCTTTCACCGATACTCAATTAAGACTTTCTGAAGTTACTGATATAGTAATAGACTTTTATGACCATAAAATATTTGCAAACTGTTTACACGATGTTTATGTGAATGAGTAATCTTCACAGCCCTGAAAGGAATCCTCTTCTGTCTGCTATCTAGTAAGTCCATAAGCATATGAAATGATTATCATCCAAGTTTTGTACAGATAATAAACAAGTAGCAATAAATTCGAAGTGCAGAAGAAGAGGAGAGTATTCCAAAAGCAAGTAGCTTATCAACCTTTGACTTACTGTAGGTAATAAAATGTACTCAACTAAGTCTATTCTATGAATTAATGATGATAAATAGTAATGATGGGTAGTGGCTAGCACTGGGATCCAGGATGCGCATTTCGTCCTATTTGGGACTCGTCAGCTGCATATACCTGCCTTCCAGTGAGTGATGTTGTTCCCATTGGGATTCGGATTCAGGAGCGATTGCTCCAACCGTGAGACCGTTATCCACTATACCACTGAGTCATGATAGCCATTTCTTGTGCGACGGGTATATTATTAGTGTTATTGCTTGTAATAAACAGTCGTTGATTAGCCTGAATTGATCAGTCTCTGTTGGCATATGGTCTCCTGTGAGGATGCTTCGACATTGCCTGTGTTTTAATTATGTATAGTAATGATGAGTAATGAGTGGCAGTGGTAGCAGTCCCAAATAGGACGGAAATGCTCATCCTGGATTCCACTGCTAACCATTATCCATCACTACTACACATAAATAAAACACAGGCAACATCGAGGCATCCGCACAGGAGCCTGTATGCCAACAGAGATTGATCAATTCGGTCCAATCAACGACGGTGTAATACAAGCAATAACACTAATGATGATAAATGTTTACAAAATGGTAGTGTTTATTTTTTTTATTATTCAGTAGTATAATTTAAAAAAGACGAAAATTGAAAAACTTTTTAAAAACTTCTTCCAATCATTTGTTGTTGTTTCTTGTTATTTTGAAGGAGGCAACATTCACTACAGTGTTAGCTTACGATTTAGGAATGCTTGCACATCATTGTACTTGTCAAACAGATGCCAATCACCCAGAGAATCCACAAAGGTTAATTTCGATTTGGCAAAGGTTGCAAGTAAGTTGAAGGAAATGATTGTGCATTATCTGATATTTATTTCATATTGTTTGTCACGTTAAAAAGTTTTTCAGCAAGGATCATTCGAAAATCACATCATATTTTTAGTAAAGTGAGACTAGTTTCATTTCAGTTTCAACTCATGTTAATCCGTGAGGATCGGTGGATCCCCACAAACTATTCAACTGAATGACTATCCAGCACTCAATAACAATATTCTTCGAGATGGATTTCCTGGAGTTGCGACTGTTAGAATCCATACATTTCGAAATTAAAGGGATACCCAAGGATGATATTGAATGGTATTTACGGTATATTGTGATTTGACAGATGTGGAAAAATGCAGATCATCTGGATTTCCATCCAGTGATTAAATAGTAAAGTCATCAACGTGAGATCTGGCAGTCCTTGATTTGATTCCAAGTTGGATCGAGGATGCACACTGAATCCTTTGAAAAGAGGTGAAATGAGGGTTCGGAATTCAAGGATCACACGAAAAAGTGTGATTCCAAGAGTTAGAAAAAAACAGGAGTTAAATCAATAATTCTAGACTTGTAAAAATAAACTTCAAGGAAGGGAATTGTTCAACAAATGGAGAATTGCATAAACATGCGAACAATAAAAAACACTCAAATGAATGTGATTAAAACACAGCAGTAAGAGAGAAAAATGTGATTTAACTAAAATAACATGGATCTACCAGGGTATAAAAATGCTTCGCTAACCACAGTCTCTTTCTGTATACAAAAGTCAATTTTAAATAATCTTACTGGAAAGGCTTTAGAGAAGTGAAGTAAACCTGGCTGTTTTTGTTTATTTATCCTCCTGAAGGTTTCAGTGAAGTCTACTTCATGTCGATTGTTTATCATGTATCTAGATATTGTACTTGTAAGAAAAAAAGTGCTCTCTTTCAAACACATCAAGTCGAGTAGACGCCATCCTCTTAGACATTCCTATTTAGTCACTTCCATAGGGGCTTGTGAATTAAGCCTTTAGGAATTATCAGTCTAATCATGTAGACACTACCAGACATCTTGACTAAGGTATTTCATTTCTTTTCTTTGTCTATCTCATCGAACCTCACTGTCTTCCTGTTAACGCTGAATACTGAAACGTCTCCCATCGCTTACAATCCTCTTGAAGTATATATGTATGTATTTGAAAATGTTGTTAACTGGATAAGATTATCATGAATAGGAGAGTAAATGACATAACACGGAAGTAATGTGACCAGCATACTGATTCACGGACTATTTAGTTGAACTCTAGTAAATGATATTTTTCAACTAGTCAGGACACCTTGCTAACTTTATCTACAAAACAAATATAATATAGTCAGAAATATTTAATATCTGAGAGTAGAAAGGGGAACATTTTAATAAACTCGAATCTCCAGAGCTATCATATTATCCAGTGGTTCAATCCGTGATGAATAATCCTCTAGAATGGAGCATTTCGTTCAAATGAATGTAATAAAGAGCTTATGTTTTCCGAGTATTTTGTTAATCTGTGATAAATTCTTGGTTTGTTTTCATCTCACACTTCAACTGTAATAATACACAATGTAAAATAAGTTTATGTAATATAATAATACTCTATAGTAATGATGGATGATGGCTAGTAGTGAGATCCAAGATGCGCATTTCGTCCTATTTGGGACTCGTCAGCTGCATATACCTGCCTTCCAGTGAGTGATGTTGTTCCCATTGGGATTCGGATTCAGGAGCGATTGCTCCAAAACGTAAGACCGTTATCCACTATACCACCGAGTCATGATAGCCACTTTTTGTGCGACGGGTATAGTTGTGGAACATATGCTTGTATTATACCGTGGTTGTTCGAACCGAGTTGATCAGTCTCTGTTGGCATATGGTCTCCTGTGTGAATACCTCGATATTGCCTGTGTTCATAACTATATAATAATGATAGATAGTAGCTAGCACTGGAATCCAGGATGGGTATTTCGTCCCATTTAGGACTTGTCAGCTGGAGACATCCGCACAGGAGCTCATATGCCAACAGAGACTAATCAACTCGGTCTAATCAACAACGGTGTAATACAAGCAATAACACTAATAATACTCGGTAAGGGGATTTCTCCTAACAAGTGGTTTACGAATTAAGAACAGTTATTATACTTGAACAAAACATCATCACAGGACAGTGAATAGTCATCACTCGAATACTGTCCTCACAATATGGAAAGATACAGAAGAGAATACTGAAAAGGCAAGACTTAATGCTGTGGAATAAGATGAAAAATAATTGAAATTAGAACTGTTTATATGCTTAGCTTACAGGACAAATGTCTGGCACTGGTGAAATATAAACAAATTTACCTTAGGTCAGGTTAATAATAGACCAATGAGACACCGGTAACATTACGTTTCACCGTAGTACAGGATGAATATTTACTCCCCAAATTTTATATGGAACAATGATAAATCGGCTGCGTTTTGTCCATTCCAACAGCGTTACCTAAAATCATCTTTAAAAGAATAAACCTTTTCCGACTTCATCTCCTCATTTAAATAGTGAATGATTATCTGAATTAAGACAGCGAAGTGCAGTCTAAAGGACAAAGATGCCTGACACTTGACTGCCATTGAGACAAGCCACATTTCGTAACAGCAAAAGTCAGTCATCCTAATAGAGTATAATTCCATATAGATCGTTTATTTGATATACCACATAGTGAGCGAGGGAGCATTATCTGTTGGATGAGGTGTCCAACAGAATTTATTACTCATATCCACATCAAAATAATCACACAAATCTCAAACTCCCACCACATACTCCAACACTTCTTCATTCACTCATCTTAAGGGTAGTATGTGTTTCCAGATATCTGGAATATGTGATGCTGAATCAACTTTCGTGTCATTTACTTTGGGAATGGATTCGATGAACAAAGATACTGTGATCAATCTCTCCCTCCACATAACAAGCTATGTTGGATTTTAGAACCGTCACCCGTCATCCCAATAGCCCTATAGCGTGATTATAAACCAGTGAATGCAGAGTGATAGTCGACTATTTCTCCAACTTACTCATCTTAGTAGGGTTTCTCATTGCATGTTCCTCTAAATTTTTGTGTTCTGTCATTCTAACTGACACCGATCGTCTGCTCTCATCTACATACTTGACCTCACAATCATTGCGTGGTAGAGTGTACACTTTCACTAAGGTTCGTTCATGAAACAGGTTATCCTGTTAGACCAATAGTTGACTTTAGAAACACACCATCATATGAGTTGTCGACATATTTAGGCCTACTGGATATAGTTGAAAATGTGTGACCATCAATTCATTTGAATTGGAGGAAAGACTGAATGGTGTAGAATAGAGTAGAAAGGAAAGATAGTCAGTTTCGATGTGATGAGCCTCCAAGCAAATATACCAAATATTATGGTAGAGGTGGCAGTCACAAATGAGCTTTCCACTGATAATGCATTCACTGACTTGACTGAATTAATGTTGAAAATCCGTATGTTGTTCACGCTTTATACTGACTGCAGTAGATCTATCTCCACACTGATTATTTCAGATTATTGAAGGAAGGTGTGTCTTGCTGTCTTTCCAATCCTGGCTTCAACCTCGTCATCGTTACCTCCGTCACCACCTGTGGTCGGAATGATGCTGCTTATGTAGGCAGGTAGATGAGAGAGACAACTTCCTTCAGATTTCTCCCACTCATCATGATTGGTGACCGTTATTGTAGTTATCGTTGCTGCTGTTGTTGTCTTTGTTGACTGGGTATCTTCATCAACTCTGTCTTGTCTACACTCCACTGAAGGAAGTCCCATCATCACAGCCATGCCTCACCTCTTCCACCTACTTGTTGCTTTTCACCTATATATCTTCCAGTTTGTATGACATTAGACATTAGACATGAATGATCATCGGCGAAATCCCAATTTTCTTCTGTGGTCTTTTCATCCATCCATCCATCCATCCAGCGTATACCCTCTTCTCGTTCTTCACAACTTGCTGCATGATCCAGTCCAACACAATCACATGGATTTGGATAGATTAGATTATTTTGGTTAATTGGTTCCATCAAAATCTTCAAGCCACCTGACAAAGATTATCTCTGAGTGAGTTTGTACGTTTAAGTGCCACCCTAATTACAGATTTCTTCAAGATACTATGTACAGTTAATGGTGCATCATATTCTTCATAGGGTCATTGAATGGAGGCTGTGAAGTCATTGCTACTCGTGTTGTCGACTCGATAAATAAAGTCTCATTAATCAATCTATCACTCAGTTTTCTTTCATCTTTTCTAAATTTCCGAAAGCTTCAAGAATATAAAGAAAAGTTTAGTCATGGCTATATTAGTTGATTAAAGTTTCAAGTACCAAATCATCATTTGTTGATGTCTGTCTGTCTGTCTGTCAAGAACTATGTATAAGTTCATTTCAAGGGAGTTATAGACAATGGTCATACTAAGCAGTTATATAACCAATACTTCAGTAGAAAAAGGGACTTGAGGGAGAACATTGTAGACTTCTAAACAGTTCCCGAAATAATTTCTATGATCTAAGGTGAAAGAATATAATCTGACTACATAAAGGCTTCCATATTCGACTATTTACTTGATACGGTACACATTGACACAGTATAGTTTACTGAATAACCTTTCACACAGAATTTATCGCTCATATTCACATCAAAATAACTGCACAACTCTCAAACTTCATCTTTATAACAAACCGACAGTTCATTCTTCTATTTTAATGGTAGTAAATGTTTCCGGTTATCTGTAATATTATGATGCGGAATCATTCCTGTCATATGTGGTTGGTGTTGATTTAGTGAACAAGAATTATGTAATCCATCTCTCCATTCACCTAACAAGGTATATTGCATTTTTGAACTGTCATCCCTCATCCCACTCACCCAATAGTCTGATTATAAACCAGTGAATGTAGAGTGATAGTCGAGCATTTCTCCAAATTACTCATATTATTAGTAGGTTCTCTCATTGTATGCTTCACT